CTCTCAGAACCACTGGCCTATTCTCTTTGATAAATCTTGGAAAACAGGAGAAGTGCCAGATGTCTGGAGAAGGCTAACATCCCTCTCTTCAAAAAGGAGAAAAAAGATGTATGTGGGAACTACAGACCAGTTAGTCAGACAGCAATCCCTGAAAAAATTCTGGAGCAAATTATTAAAAAAAATTCAAGCATTTTGAAGAAAATGTAGTCCTCAATAGAAGCCAACATGGATTTATAAAAAATAAATCCTGACAAAAAATTTAATTACATTTTTGGACTGGGTAACCTCACAAATGGACAGAGGGAACACTGTGGACACAATCTACCTAGACTTTAGCAAAACTTTTGACATAGTGCCCCACAACATTCAGATAAGTAAATTAGCAAAAACTGGATTAGATAGAAAAACTATTAGGTGGATCCAAAATTGGCTGCTAAATCAGACACAAAGAGTGTTCAGCAATGGCACCTTCTCAAACTGAAGGAAGATAACTAGTGCAGTGCTGCAAGCTTCGGTCCTAGGCCCAGTGCTTTTCAACATCAGTTTTAATTATTTAGATGAGTAAGTTGAAGGAATGACAATCAGACTTGCAGATGATAAAAAACTGGGTGGAACAGCAAACACCCTAGAAGACAGAATGAAAATCCAGAGTGATCTTGATAAATTTGAACACTGGGCTGAAAGCAAAAGAATGAGATTCAATAAGGCCGTCCTTATTGAACGTCCACCTAGAAAAACAAACCAAATGTATTCATACAGGATGAGGAACACGTGGCTCAACAGAACTGAAAAAGAAAAAGACCTTGGAGTAATTGTGGACAACAGATTAAATATGACCCAACAATATGATGTAGCCACCAAAATGGCATATGCTATTTTAGGATGCATTAATATGCAAGCATTACTTCCAAATCACAAGAAATACTAGTTCCCCTGTACTCCTCACTAGTCAGACCTCCTCTAGAGTACTTTGTACTGTTCTGGGCACCAAGATTTAAGAAAGATGCAGAAAAATTAGAAAGGGTCCAGAGGAGGGCACCAAAAATGATCCAGGGTTTCAAAACACTGCCCTATGAGAAGAGACTGAGAGAATTGGGCATGTTCAGCCCTATATCCCTCTATAAGTACCTCAAAGGCTGTCACAAAGAGGAAGGTCAAGATCTCTTCTTGCTAATGCCAGAGTGTAGGACATGGAATAATTAATTCAAGTAGCAACAACCCAGATTCAGGCTGGACATCAGGAGAAGCTTCCTCACTGTCAGAGCAATACAACAGTGGAGCCAGCTGCCTAGAAGGGTGGTGGGCTCTTCCACACTAGAGACATTCAAAAAGAAACAGGGCAGCCATCTGAGTGGGATGGTGTAACCTGGTGTCCTGCAACAGCAGTGGGTTGGACCACATGGCCTTCATGGCCCCTTCCAGCTCCACTATTCTATGTCTGTATTGCTGTCTAAGCTCAGTCCACCCTAATGTTGTTCAAGTACAAGCTCAGAGTCCTCCAGTGTTTCTTCCTGTCATAGGGAGCAGATAGAGATTGTGCTCTGCCTCTCCCTGTCACTCATCTCAGCTGCCTTCCACATCATGGGACCTGTAACCCATGCAAAGAATGTCCAGGAGATTCTCAGGCTTCACGTCCCCTCAGAGCACTGCATTCTGCCCCTAGAGTGGCCACCTGAGCACCTGCGTGATAAAAGGAGGCAGCTTACTCATAGCTCACAATCTCCTTTGTTACTTGCTGATGCAATAAATCACGTCGATGGGACATATATAGCAGTGCAGGCAGGCCAAAGGATATCAGAAAGGAGCTAGCAATTGACTAGGTGGAAATAGGCTGTGACTGGATGGAACAAAGGCAAAATTATAGCCATCCAGGCATGTGGATGAGTCCAACAATTATTTGAATGTGTTTATTGGCCAATGTGTTTATTGGCCAATTTCTGCTAATTTGCTACAGTTACCTTGCTGACGGAGGACACATGTCTCTAAACACATTTGCAGAATAGGTCTAGCTCATCAGGAATAAGATCTCCTGGAAGACATTTTATTATTTTGTTATTTTGGTGTGAGGGGGGGACCACCAAAATAACTCAAAAGTGCTTGGGGAACTGTTACATGCCTGGCAAAGCTGAAACTAACACCTTTTAAGAGAAGCACAGGGCCGGGTGGGTGGGGCGGGGGGTGGACAGGAGACACGGGAAAGCTTAACGGGGGCTGTTTATTCTGGGTGGCATCATAAGGTACCCAAGGCAGTCTTTTTTTTTTTTCCACTGAGAGAAGGTGATAAACAGCAATTACATGGTACAACTGAGGGACAGAAATTGCAGGAAAGCAAATTTGGGCTAAGCTGTAAGAAAAATTTCCTTTGGGGAAGAGCTGTTCAGCACTGGCACAGTCTGCCTTGGGAGCTACCCCAAATACTCTGATAGTGGTGTTTAAGCAGAAACTGGTAGTCATCTGTGAAGGATGCTATAGTTGCGACATTGAAGAGGAGAAGGTGGGCTAAATAACCCCCAGGATCCATTCCAACTTTGATTTTATCAGTGTGGCTTCCCATTGATAGTAGGAAAACAGAGAGCAATGGGGAAAGGAGGTGGCATCTCTGCACCACGCAATGTGGGCTCTACAGGAGGTGGAGGAAATGCTGAAGTCATAGTAAAATGTAGAAAAAGGGGTTTGAAAAGGGGTGAGAGCTGATGGCTATTTATCTGTATTACTCTGTTTGAACGCAGGAGAAGGCAGTGATGATCCAGACTGCAAGTAGCTATCAGTTGGGAGCTTGTGAATTTACTGCTGGGTAAAAGCAATTCAGGAATTCAAGAAGGCCCAGCAACCATTTCAAGAATGATGCACATGAACTCAGGAGGGAATGAGATATTCAGAAATTCCGGGAAACACCTGCTGTGTTAGGAAAATTACAGAACTAAGTTTGTGGAGGCTTGAAATATAAAAGGAATAGTCCTGGAAAGGTAACCTCCAGTTATCTTTGCAACGGAAGCTGCTATTTGGTTTAGTTCATGGAAAAATGGAGAGAGCTCAGGGACTTGTAGTACTTCCTGTGTGAGGTTTTGTTCTCACTCAGCTTTTAAATAGCCAGTTCAATATGTACTACATTGTGACTTAGTTACATTAGGCATGGAAGCAGGCTGGGTGTTTCTGACCTCTGGCTAACCCATGCCAGCTGAACAGCAGCCAGTCCATTCCTAATCAACAGAGAATTTTTGGTGGGACACTTGGCCTGGGCCTTTGTCCTTTGATTAACTCTCCCTAACCAGGAAGACAGGACAAAAGCACCTAGAACGCTAAGCATTTTGGTTATAGTCCACAGTTAAAATGATGGTGGAACTTGCTCCCTTGGAAGCACTATGCCACTGCAATGTCTCAGGCATACAGAAGTCTCCTTCCAGTCTTTTTAGCAGGAAATTATACCCAGGGTTCAAACCTGGAAGTACAAGCCTGCTAACCCTGAACTGTTGCAGAGGACTATGGCTCCACAGACACCTCCTCAATTATCTGACAACCACGGGAGGTGGTTAAAGCCCATCAGTGAGGGTGAGCTGGACATGCACATGGCAGGCATGTTGTGAGCAGAGCTGGCTGGAGCCAGGGGTCAGACTAGATGGCCTGGGGGACCCCTTCTGACTCACACTCTTTCTATGTTTCTGTGACTTGGACAAAAGGCTAAGTTAAGCCACATCATGTATCTCCTGCAGTTGTGATGAAGGAACCACCGCTTTCTGGAGTGTGAGGATCTAGCCCTGCTTCTCCTACTTTTCTGGTCCGGATCCCAAATAGTTTGGCCTTGTGTTCATCAGTTTATTTCCCATAATATATCCTCAGTTTCTACCTCCAGTTCCTTATTTCAGTTTTATTCCCCACTGAGTTACCAGGTAAGTTGCCATAGATGGACTGGAGGGGCCCTTGGTCTGATCCAGCATGTCTATTCTTGCAGGCTGCCAGTCGTAATTCCTATTCTTGTTTGTGCAGTTGGTTCTCATCCTTGCCAAATGCAAATCTGTGGCCTGAAGTATGTCCATGGGAGCGTTGTGCCCCTAGAAGAATGCACAGCCTATAGTTTTGCTACCCATTTGTCATTGCTAATGTTTTAAAGTGGGAAGTGGATGTATGTGGGCAAGGACAAAAAAATAAGCAAAGCAAAGCAAAGCAAAGCAAAGCAAGATGAATCTAAAGAGACAGGAAAAAGAACTTGTCAACTCACCAGAGTATGGAGGACAAAGAGTATGACCACAAAGAGTTTTTGCTTTCCACAGAGTTTTAACTGAAAGCTCTCTGTAACTTGGCAAGTGCTCAGTAGTCTACATAGCACACAAAGGTAAACAAGAGTTGGGTCCAACTTTCAAAGGTCTGAATTCAGCCTGAATTGGTTATGTATGGGCATGTGACAACTTTCTTCTTTTGTTTGCATTTCTGCGTGTGTGTGTGTGTGTTGTGTATGTGGAGGGGGTGGATAATGACTTTAACATGGTAATTCTCTCAAGTTCTTCCAAGCTTCCTCAGGCTGGTGGCCACTGTTCTAAATTTCCCAGAATGCCCCATATCAAAAGGCATTGTCAGAAGAGAAAAGAGGCCTGTACTACTGTGCAGCTGCCATACTTGTGTGGTGGTAGCTGTTTATTTCCTACACAGTGCAAAGAAACTGATCCTGCTTCTAGGGAATAGTAGAAAACAAAGGTAGAAGTCATGGAGGCCAACGAAGGGTCCCAGCAGCTGTTGAGGTTGCTACGAATCTGTGACAATGTGTGAAATGGTGCTACTTTACGTGTCATACGTGTAGAATATCCATCCTTGAATCAAGTGTTCTCTCTGGCTTCTATGGCAACCATCTGATGGCCTAGACCACTTAAGTACTTCTTTCTTTGCTTGACATCCCTGCTTTTCAGGGTCTTAAAAGTATTGACACCTATCAGCAAGTGTTTGTGTGTCTTAGGAGCATGATTAATTTTTTTTCTTCTCTCTTTGGTCCCTCTTACCCACTTCCCCAGGACTGTCCAACTCCATCTCTCAGCCTCTTGGAGACTCAAGTAAGTACACATTTTAAGGTGCCCTACTTTTGACTATTGACTGATCGCCATCATCTACATCATCTCTACTTAGCTGTTACAAAAATGGGATCATGTATTGCTATCTTTTGTTCACGGTCAATGCTGTTCTGAGATTTCACAAACACAGAAATATATTTAACATATGTATGTTCCACATTTCGATCATAGTTTGTGACTTTTACATTATTAAGTGCATACAATAAAGTATGCATAATATTACAGAGTATTACCAAGGAGAGGTAAAAATACTTATAAAATCAATAAATAGTGCTCAAGGTGGCTAAAAATATACTTTAAACAACAACAAAATGAACAGGCATCATCAAATGTGCTAAAATACTAACAACCAGAAGATGAAAATAGCAGAACAACTCCTGTTAGACAGGACAGCTTTGGTAAATAACAGGATTTCTTCTTGTTGCCTAGAAACTTTCCAAAAGTGCTGCTAGACAGGCCAGCAATCTGCCATAGGGCAGAATGAGGGCTGCCTCAAAAAGCTAATTTTGGGTCATGAGTAGGCACCAAATTACAGGCAGTCCCCAGGTTACAAATGAGTTCTGTTCCTGTGAAAACATAAATTTGTCTTTAAGTCAAATGTGTATGTAAGTCAGATCACGTATAGTCAGTCCTTCACATTCATGGAGGCTGAAAGGACCCCCATGAAAGTGGAAAGTGGAAAAACTGAAAATGTGTCTAGATCCCACCCAAACAAACTTCTTTGCACCAAGGAAATGCTGGAAAGATTTCCCTCTCCAGATGGGCAGGGCAAGGAGGCCTGCTTTGGAGGTCCTCCTTCTCCCCCACTTCTGCTTCCCCTCTCTCTATGGTGATGCTTTGGAGGTCTTCCCTCTGTGCCACTTCTCTTCCTATAGTGATGGCAACTTTCTGCAGTGATTTTTTAAAAAAAATAATAGGCTGTATGGCAGTTTGTAAGTACAGGTTTTTGTAACTCGGACATTCATAAATCAGGGACCACCTGTATAGTTTTATCTACTTAGGGTGTGATCTTATTGCTCTAGAGGCCTGTCTGATCATTGGGAGTCCCGGCTCTGGTTTCAAGAACTTGCTCTGAGATCAGAGATGGGACTCCAGATTCAAAGCCTCCCCTCTGACGGTGCAGCCAGTGCAGAAGAACCACATTGGCAATGGCTCCAAGGTCACAAGAACGACCTCAGAGACTGGCTTTGGGAGACAGGAAAAGCAGGAGAGGGGAGCAGATAGTTTGGCCAGCATACCAAGTATCCCGGTGGTACATCAGCCTTGCACTCCTAGGTCAAACGTTTAGATGGCTGAAATTGGCCACCTATGCATTTTGCGTGGTGGTGTATGGATCACAGAGATGGCCTTCGCCTCCAGACTTCTCCTGCCATGTTCAAAACAGCCATGACCTGAGTTTGGATGGTTATAGCAACCTCACTGGATTGCACTGCCCACTATTCTACTGCTAGTGAGGAATCTCCCCCAGGGAATCAGTGCTTCGGATAACGGCTTCGCCAGGACACCCGGGGAGCTCGCACTAGTGCAACGCAGTGTTAGCAGCTGCGTCCCATTGGATACTGCCCTTCATCTAGATTTCAGCTACTTTAAGTGTCATTAAAACAACTGAAGCCCTGCCCTGTTCAAGGGGCTTCGTCGTTGCTGTTTTCTGGCTGGGAACTGCCCAGTAGTTTCATGCTATCTGCTTTCTATTAATGCACAACTCTGCTCTGAGAAGCTGGTAGTAAGGTTTGTGGAACAAAACACCATCCTCCTCTGGTGAACTGCAAAGAAGTAATCATAAAGTGGAAAGGAAGGGAACTCAGGCTGTATTTTTGGAATCACTCCCCCGCCCCCAACACACCTCTTTTGTTCTGTCAATCTGAATAGAAGTGCTCATGTGATGTAATTTAGAACGGAGCTTGCTTTCACTTTTTATTTTTTTATTTTTTATAGAAAAGCTTTCAGTCAGGAAAAGCTTTGGGAGCTCTGGGGGTATAGCTTAGCTCAAAGAAAGAGAAAGCAAGCAAGTTTGCATTGACAGCTTGATCCCAGGGAGAGGTGGCTGGCTGCTTGTCTAACAGGTCCTCCGAGGCAGAGAGAGAGGAGCGAGCCATATTAAGGAGTCATATTAAGTGAGCGTGCCCTGCCAGTGCTCAAGGAACAATTACCATTATTCTGCACAGTTCACTGTTTGCTACTGCAATTTCCTTCAATAAAACCTCTTTTCACTTGCCAATTGGAGCTTGTCATGTAACAATATTTCTTATGCACAATACACATAGTAAAATGCCCTTGTGTTTTAAACACATTTGGAATCATGAACAATAGCAGCACAGTGACAGCAAAAAGTGCTTGCTCTGAATATAGAATGGAAGGGAAAAAAGGAGAAAGCAAGAGCCTTCTTCAAGAGGGAATAAAGGTGGAGTTTTGTCTAATTTTCATGTAAAGGCAGAGTTGCCTCTTATGCATGACTAGGAATTCCTATACTTTGCAGCTGTATTTTAAAGTGAATCTCACCACCAGGAACAAGCAGTCGCCTGCCTCTTTGACAAGTCATCAGGTATGACCACGTCCTGTTACTGAACCACACGCTGAATCACAAATCAAAACAAAATCTAGCTGAGCCCAGTTTAAAACCTATGCACAGCAACAAAGCTTCCCATTACTATTTTCCCAGCTCAGTTTTGAACATCGAAATGGCATTTTCCGGCTCTTTCAGGAGCATTTGCAGAGACTGAGCAGATTCAGGTTCCTTGACTAAGATGCCGCTTAAACAAAGGTACCCATGAAAGCACTTTCAATTGTGCCGAAGCAGCAGTTCACATGTACAGCGGCCTGACTGTATTTATGTCTCACTGAATCAATGGCACTTGCTTACTTGGAATCGGACGCAGCCCTGGGACTGCTTCAGGCAGCAGCGACCATTTCTGGGGAAGATTCCGGGTGGCTGCAGTCAATGCACAGATGCTGCTTCTGCCCCCTGTGGAGAGCCCCCTTCCAGCAGCCTCAGGAGGAATGAACTACTCTGTTTGTTTCACTTGTTCTGACATTCAAGTCCTTTTCTTCACATTTATTCAAAAATCTACACATTTTGGTATGTTCCTATTTAAAAACAGAGTGAAACAAACTGTATTCCTTACCTAAATATCAGCATTGCCCCTGCTCACTTGCTTCTGCACCCTCTGGAAGCTGGTTCCTACAAAGGTGCCCAATGGACCATGAGATGCTCCAGGATGCCTTCAGAAACATAGAAATAGAGAAACAGAGTGAGTCAGAAGGGTCCTCCTGGGCCATCTAGTCTGACCCCTGTCTCCAGCTGGCTTTGCCATGTGCATGTCCAGCCTATCCTTGAGCACCCTCAGCAATAGGGCTTCAACCACCTCCCATGGAAGCCTATCCCACACCCCAGGGGTCCTAGGGTGTGGAAGGGCATGGGCCCAGGCTTAAAACTGTCATGTGCACACTGCTGTGAGGATAAGTGCCACTGAACTCAGTGGGTTTACTTCTGACCAAACAAGCGTAGGGGCGCAGCATTAGGCTGAGGTTGTGAAATGTGTGGTTTAGTAAGTTTGCATTAGAAAATGGGCATCTGATCAAGATCCAAAACCTGGTCGAGACAAAGTCTGGAGTGGAAGGGGAAAGGGAGGACTGGGAGGACTTGGAGTGGCCACATGTCCCTTGCTGCAAGGGACAGCCCTGCATCCAAGAAGCTGCTCAAGGACCTGCCTCTGTCTGAAGGGGTGCTTTATTTAAAGTTCTGCTCTGGCCAAGCCCTGTTTAAAGAGAGAAATGCTCGAGAACAGATTCCTCCCAGCAGATAGAACCTCAACAGCAAGCAAACAGGCAAGCACATGGGTAACCTAGTTGCAGCCTTGTACTTTGAGATACACTATGATTCTCTTTAAATTGCAGTAATTGTTTGTAAATTTGCATCAGTACATATTTACTTATTTAATGAATTTATATGCCGCTACAATAGCCTATTTCTGGGCTCTCTGCACAGCTCACAATATGAAAACAACACAACATTGTAAAATCAATAACATTAAATCAACATAGTCAAAACATATTAACATAGTCCAAATATAAAAATAATATATTTAAATTAAATATAATGTAAAACATTAAATAAAACTAAATAAAAGTCAACTAAAATAAAACATGGGCCAATTTTAAAACCAGATAGCCATTAAAAGCCATTGTTAAAATGACAGGAGAAGAGGTGAGCCTCTGGGGAGCCCATTCCAGAGGTGGAACGCAACTGCCAAAAAGACATTTCCTCTAGCCAGCATCCATCTCACCTCCCAAGGGGATGGCTCCCTAAGAAGGACCTCCTGGCTTGTTCTTAATGAACAGGTAGGGACTTATGGGAGAAGATGATATTTTAGGTACCCAGGAACCGAACTGTTCAAGGTTTTATATGTAAATACAAGCTCTTTGAATTGTGCCCAGACTTCCACTGGTAGCCGCTGTAGTTGGCATAAGGCTGGTTTGCTATGGGCTCAAGGCATCTTTCATGCCAGCACCTGAACCAGTTGGAGTGTCTGGACCCTCTTCAAGGGCAGCCCCTCATAAAGCAGGTTACAATAATCCACCTGGGATGTGACCCAGGCATGCATGACTGCGGCTGGCTTTGTCTGTCAAGATATGGCCATAACTGGTAATTTAGTCCCAGCTGGAGGAATTGCCATATATTATAGCATGCAGATCAGTAAATTTGGTCCACTTCTGGCAATGCATTTCTTCTTCTCATGATTCATACACTGTTACCTACCCTACAAAAGGGGGAGCTAGGGAAAGGAGGGATTCGATTTCCCCCACCCTATGCTTTTTATTGCTATCTGTTTTGGTTCACAAAACTGGGGAGCAGGGATGAGAAGCACCGGGCAGATCACTATGCGTTGCTTGTGCAGATTTGCATCGGGAGAAGACCGGTGGTGCCCAGATGGTGCAACAGCAGCACCCTGAGAAAGCTGGGAGGGGGATCTGCGGCGGTGCCA